GGTGTCATATCCCCCTTATGTATTATACATGGAGATACATATCCCCCTTATGTATTAACACATGGAGATCATTTTATCCCCCCTATTATGTATTATACATGGAGATCTATATCCCCCCTTAATGTATTATACATGGAGATCATATCCCCCCTTATGTATTATACATGGAGATCATATCCCCCCTTATGTATTATACATGGAGATCTTATCCCCCCTTATTGTATATTATACATGGAGATCATACCCCCACCCCACGCACACACCCCCCTTATAATTGTATTAATACATGGAGATCATTAATCCCCCCTTATGTATTATACTTGGAGATCATATCCCCCCTTATGTATTATACATGGAGATCATATCCCCCCTTATGTATTTATACATGGAGATCATATCCCCCTTATGTATTTATACATGGAGATCATATCCCCCTTATGTACTATACATGGAGATCATAGTGCCCCCCCTTATGTATTATACATGGAGATCATATCCCCCCTTATGTACTATACATGGAGATCATATCCCCCCCTTATATATGTATTATACATGGAGATCATATCCCCCCTTATGTATTACATACATGGAGATCATATATCCCCCCCTTATGTATTATACATGGAGATCATATCCCCCCTTATGTATTATACATGGAGAATCATATCCCCCCCTTATGTATTATACATGGAGATCATATCCCCCCCCCTTATGTATTATACATGGAGATCATATCCCCCCCTTATGTATTATACATGGAGATCATATCCCCCCTTATGTATTATACATGGAGATCATATCCCCCCCTTATGTATTATACCTGGAGATCATATCCCCCCCCCTTTATGTATTATACATGGAGATCATATCCCCCCTATGTATTATACATGGAGATCATACCCCTTCCCCCCTTATGTATTATACATTGGAGAGATCCGTGCTGCTATAACCCCCCTTATGTATTATACATGGAGATCATATCCCCCCTTATGTATTATACATGGTCCTATCATATCCCCCGTCGTTTGTATCTTATACTATGCTGAGATCATATACCCCCCCTTATGTATTATTACATGGAGATCATATCCTCCCCCCTTATGTATTATACATGGAGATCATATCCCCCCCTTATGTATTATACATTGGAGATCATTTTCCCCCCCCTTATGTATTATACATGGAGATCATATCCCCCCCTTATGTTATTATACATGGAGATCATATCCCCCCCTTATGTATTATACATGGAGATCATATCCCCCCTTATGTATTATACATGGAGTATCATATCCCCCCCCTTATGTATTATACATGGAGATCATATCCCCCCTTATGTATTATACATGGAGATCATATCCCCCCTTATGTATTTACAATGGAGATCATATCCCCCCTTATGTATTATACATGGATAGATCAAATCCCCCTTATGTATTATACATGGAGATCATATCCCCCTATGTATTATACATGGAGATCATATCCCTCCCTTATGTTTTATACATGGAGATCATATCCCCCCTTATGTATTATACATGGAGATCATATCCCCCCTTGGGGTACCCCACTAATAACACTGACCCTTGGGGTACCCCACTAACCCCTTCCATACTGAGCACTTTAAACCCCCTTACTGCCCCCCCCAGGCCATTTTTCAGGTTTCAGCGCTCTCACACTTTGAATGACAATTGCGCGGTCATACAACATTGTACCTGTCCTGACATTTGGGGGATATCTGTCCCAGTCCTGACATTTGGGGATATCTGTACCGTCCCGACATTTGGGGGATATCTGTACCGTCCCGACATTTGGGGGGATATCGTACCGTCCCGACATTGGGGGATCTCTGTACCGTCCCGACATTTGGGGGATGTCTGTACCGTCAAGGTCCCGACATTTGGGGGATGTCTGTACCGTCCCGACATTTGGGGGATGTCTGTACCGTCCCGACTGAATTTGGGGGATGTGTCTGTACCGTCCCGACATTTGGGGGATGTCTGTACCGTCCCGACATTTATTGGGGGAATGTCTGTACCGTCCCGACATTTGGGGGGGGGGGATGTGTGTCCCATCCCGACATTTGGGGGGATGTGGGGTACCCCAAGGGTCACACTGACCCTTGGGGTACTCCACTAATCACACTGAGCCTTGGGGTACCCCACTAATCACACTGAGCCTTGGGTACCCCACTAATCACACTGACCCTTGGGGTACCCCACTAATCACACTGACCCTTGGGGTACCCCACTAATAACTTTGAGCCTTGGGGTACCCCACTGACACCCCCAGACCATGCAGAGTATGAATCATTAACCACTACTCCTCTGAATACGATCTCTTAGCCAGTTTTCTATCCATTTACATTCAGATTATTCCAGTCTTTACCTTACACATTAGCTGTGTGTGGGGAACTGTGTCCAAGTATACCACGTCCACCGCCACCCCTCTGTCCAAGTATACCACGTCCACCGCCACCCCTCTGTCCGAGTATACCACGTCCACCGCCACCCCTCTGTCCGAGTATACCACGTCCACCGCCACCCCTCTGTCTGAGTACCCCACGGCCACCGCCACCCCTCCGTCCGAGTACACCTCGGGCCACCGCCACCCCTCCGTCCGAGTACCCCACGGCCACCGCCACCCCTCTGCCCGAGTACCCCACGGCCCACCCCTCTGCCCGAGTACATCACGGCCACCGCCACCCCTCTGTCCAAATATACCATGTCTTATACTCGGACAGAGGGGTGGCGGTGGACGTGGTATACTCGGACAGAGGGGGTGGCGGTGGACGTGGTATACTTGGACAGAGGGGGTGGCGGTGGACGTGGTATACTTGGACACAGTTCCCCACACACAGCTAATGTGTAAGGTAAAGACTGGAATAATCTGAATGTAAATGGATAGAAAACTGGCTAAGAGATCGTATTCAGAGAGTAGTGGTTAATGATTCATACTCTGCATGGTCTGGGGGTGTCAGTGGGGGACCCCAAGGATCAAAGTTATTAGTGGGGTACCCCAAGGCTATGAGGGAGGAGTCAATACCCCAATGATGATTGTCTTCAGGGTCTGGATGGTGGAGAAGTCAATACCTCAATGACGGTGGGCTTCAGGATGAGGGAGGAGTCAATACCCCAATGAGGGTGGCCTTAAGGATGGGGGAGGAGTAAATACCCCAATGATGGTGGTCGTCAGGATTGGGGTGGAGTCAATACCCCAATGATGGTGGTCTTCAGGGTCAGGATGGTGGAGGAGTCAATACCCCAATAATGGTGGTCTTCATGGGTCAGGATGTCTTCTAGGGGAGGAGTCAATACCCAATGATGGTGGTCTTTAGGCTGAGGGAGGAGTCAATACCCCAATGATGGTGGTCTTCAAGGTCAGGATGAGGGAGGAGTCAATACCCCAATGATGGTGGTCTTCAGGATGAGGGAGGAGTCAATACCCACAATGAGGGTGATCTTCAGGGTCAGAATGAGGGAGGAGTCAATCACCCCAATGATTGTGGTCTTCAGGATGAGGGGAGGAGTCAATACCCCAATGATGGTGGTCTTCAGGATGTGGGCGGAGTCAATACCCCAATGATGGTGGTCTTCAGGATGAGGGAGGAGTCAATAACCCAATGATGGTGGTCTTCAGGATGGGGGAGGAGTCAATACCCCAATAATGGTGGTCTTCAGGATGAGGGTGGAGTCAATACCCCAATGATGGTGGTCTTCAGGATGATGGAGGGTTCAATTCCCCAATGATGGTGGTCTTCAGGGTCAGGATGAGGGAGGAGTCAATACCCCAATGATGGTGGTCTTCAGGATGATGGGGAGGAGTCAATACCCCAATGAAGGTGGTCTTCAGGATGAGGGAGGAGTTAATACCTCAATGATGGTGGTCTTCATGATGGGGGAGGAGTCAATACCTCAATGATGGTGGACTTCAGGATGAGGGAGGAGTCAATACCTCAATGATGGTGGTCTTCAGGATGGTGGAGGAGCTAATACCTCAATGATGGTGGTCTTCAGGATGAGGAAGGAGCCAATACCCCAATGATGCTGATTTTCAGGATGAGGGAGGAGTCAATACCCAAATGATGGTGTTTTCAGGATGAGGGAGGAGTCAATACCCCAATGATGGTGGTCTTCAGGATGAGGGCAGAGTCAATACCCCAATGATGGTGGTCTTCAGGATGAGGGAGGAGTTAATACCTCAATGATGGTGGTCTTCATGATGGGGGAGGAGTCGATACCTCAATGATGGTGGACTTCAGGATGAGGGAGGAGTCAATACCCCAATGATGGTGCTTTTCAGGATGAGAGAGGAGTCAATACCCCAATGATGGTGGTCTTCAGGATGAGGGAGGAGTCAATACCCCAATGATGGTGGTCTTCAGGATGAGGGAGGAGTCAATACCCCAATGATGGTGGTCTTCAGGATCAGTCCAGTCTTTATCTTGGTTGTTCTCCCCCCATCCTCACTCTCTGACCTCTGGTGGGGCTCAGCCCCGCTGTTCTTCATGACTAAATCATGGAGTAAATCAGGAAGTGCAGTACTTCTTGTGTTGGGAAGATGGCGATGAGTGATAGAGGGGGTGGGGACCCTCGTCCTATAATCCCCTCATCACTGTCCCTCCTATAAAAGACAGTTCTGGTTGTTTCCTCACTCTCTGACTAAGGTCCATGAATAAAGAAATGACCTGGTAGGAGATCAGAGGAGCCATTTCCTAGTTCCCTTGAGGGTGGAATTGTAAGCTCCTCAGAGACCAAGCTGCCTGATGTGGGCGGAGTCCTGGTTTGGGGGAACCAATCAGCTCCTGTCTAGTAATCCTCTTTGTCTTTGTATTTTAGTCCATGGCCGGGAGATGAGGAAAACCTCCGAGGATTGTCTCACTTTGTCTCCAGACTGGAAAGTAGAAGATGAGGACATCACACAGTATAGTCCAGGAGAAAAACCCGGCTCCCTCCAATGTCCATCCGGCACCACCCAGTGTAGATGGACCATCGGATTCCTCGTATCCTGAGGAACCTCAGACTGTGCGGGACCTGGCCGACCTTCCAACAGGGAAGAGGTTCTCCTGTACTGAGTGCGGGAAAGGTTTTGTAGGAAAATCAACACTTCTCATACATCAGAGATCTCACACAGCGGAGAAGCCACATTCCTGTCCTGAGTGCGGGAAATGTTTCCGTTATAAATCTGGTCTTAATGTGCATATAAGATATCATACGGGGAGAGAAGCCATATTCCTGTCCTGAGTGCGGGAAATGTTTCCGTTATATATCCGGTCTTAATGTGCATATAAAGATATCATACAGGAGAGAAGCCTTATTCCTGCCCTGAGTGCGGGAAATATTTTCGTTATAAATCCGGTCTTAGTGTGCATATAAGATTTCACACGGGAGAGAAGCTGTATTCCTGTCCTGAGTGCGGGAAATGTTTCCAATCTAAATCTAAATTCAATGAACATATAAGATCTCACACGGGAGAGAAGCCGTATTCCTGTTCTGAGTGCGGAAAATGTTTTCAAATATAAATCTGATCTTAATAGGCATAAAAGATCTCACACGGGGGAGAATCCGTATTCCTGTACTGAGTGCGGGAAATGTTTCCGAAATAAATCCGATCTTAATAGGCATGAAAGATCTCACACGGGGGAGAAGCCGTATTCCTGTTCTGAGTGCGGGAAATGTTTCCAGTATAAATCCGATCTTAATAGTCATGAAAGATCTCACACAGGAGAGAAGCCGTATTCCTGTCCTGAGTGTGGGAAATGTTTCAATTCTAAATCTCATCTTAATGTGCATAAAAGATCTCACACGGGGGAGAAGCCGTATTCCTGTCGTGAGTGCGGGAAATGTTTCCAATATAAATCCGATCTTGACAGACATGAAAGATCTCACACCGGAGAGAAGCCGTATTCCTGTCCTGAGTGCGGGAAATGTTTTTCCTCTAAGTCCTATCTTCCCAGACATCTCAGAGATCTCACACGGGGGAGAAGCCGTATTCTTGTCCTGAGTGCGGGAAATGTTTTTCAGAATACTCCAGTCTTCACACTCATCAGAGATCTCACACGGGAAAAAGCCGTATTCCTGTCCTGAGTGCGGGAAATGTTTTTCACATACTCGCAGTCTTCATATACATCAGAGATCTCACACGGGGGAGAAGCCACTTTCCTGTCCAGAGTGAGGGAAATGTTCCTCACTGAAGTCCTGTCTTCCTGTACATCAGGGATTATATCGTGGTAGACAGATCAGACCGGGGTCAGTCCTTATTGGGGGGCGGAATGGGGAAAGATGGGGGGAGGGCTATGGCAGATGGTAAGAAGGTTCCCATGTTACAACCAGTGGAATTGGTACCATTTGTATGAAAATAAAAAATACACAAAATCCGTGTGAACAAGGTGTCAGTGAATGAAGGAGGTGCCAGTGAATGGACAAGGTGTCAGTGAATGGAGGAGGTATCAGTGAATGAACGAGGTGTCAGTGAATGAAGGAGATGTCAGTGAATGGAGGAGGTGTCAGTGAATGGAAGTGTTTGTTCCCCAATGCCAGAAGTCTGCCCAGCACAATAGGTGAGTTGGAAGGTTTGGTGAATGAAGAGAACTAGGATTGGATTGGTATTGCTTAATCTTGGCTTCATTCCTCACATGACTGGGCCATTCATATTCCGGGCTAGGTTCTCTTTCGGAGAGACTGGGGAATAGGAAAGGGGGTGGAGACTGTCTGGAATAGGAAAGGGGTGGAGTCTGTCTGGAATAGGAAAGGGGGTGGAGTCTGGAATAGGAAAGGGGTGGAGTCTGTCTCTGTGAGAAATGATCTCAGCGAGTGTGAGAGGACCTAGTTGATGGAGAGTGTGATGAGGCTGAAGTATTATGGGTGGAGCTGCACATGGGGGGCGGTACTACAAAGGTCATCATTGGAGTTTGTTATAGGTCTCCCAGTGTTAATGAGGAAGTGGAGACTCAGCTCCTCCCACAGATGGAAAGGGCTGGGACAGTGATAATAATGGGGGATGGTAACGACTCGGGAAAGTGACTGGAGTAATGGGACTGCAGGAACAGTTAAAGGACAAAAATGTATAAACCTACTACAGGACAATTGTATGGTTCAGTTCATAGAGGCCCCAACTAGGAGTGATGCTCTGCTGGACCTGTGTCATAGAGGCCCCAACTAGGAATGATGCTCTGCTGGACCTGTGTCATAGAGGCCCCAACTAGGAATGATGCTCTGCTGGACCTGGTCATAGAGGCCCCAACTAGGAATGATGCTCTGCTGGACCTGGTCATAGAGGCCCCAACTAGGAATGATGCTCTGCTGGACCTGTGTCATAGAGGCCGCAACTAGGAATGATGCTCTGCTGGACCTGTGTCATAGAGGCCCCAACTAGGAATGATGCTCTGCTGGACCTGGTCATAGAGGCTCCAACTAAGAATGATGCTCTGCTGGACCTGTGTCATAGAGGCCCCAACTAGGAATGATACTCTGCTGGACCTGTGTCATAGAGGCCCCAACTAGGAATGATACTCTGCTGGACCTGTGTCATAGAGGCCCCAACTAGGAATGATGCTCTGCTGGACCTGGTCATAGAGGCCCCAGCTAGGAATGATGCTCTGCTGGACCTGTGTCATAGAGGCCCCAACTAGGAATGATGCTCTGCTGGACCTGGTCATCTCCAACCATGCAGAGATTATTACAAATGTCCATATATAGAACATCTGGGTAGCCGTGACCATAAACATGATTTCATTGTTAGCTGTAAACAGCGAGCACATACGGGAGAATAAAAACGCTGAACTTTAAGAGAGCTAATTCTCCAAGGCTGAGATCTGCTCTCCAAGACTTAGACTGGGAGGAATATTGGCATGGATGAACACAACACAGAAATGGGAGTTCTTCACAAAGACTGTATGTGACCACACTGCAGAATATATCTGTGACGGGAGTGACTTTTTGGGGGGTGGGGGGGGACCTCTGTATCATCTCCCCAAATCATTATGTTTAACCCACCCTGTGCCTGTTAAGGGTTACAGGGTGTGTATGTGAATGTCTGAGTCTTGTGTGTTGTCCTTTGTCTAGGGCACATGGCTGTCCATTGTCTGTTTACCATGTGCTACCCCCCATTGTGCTGTGTCTCTCTGTCTAGTGAACTATTATGGGATGTACTGTTTGTGTATTGGTGTGTGGGGTTGGTCAGTGTCCTTTGCCACATGGTTGCATCCCATTGTTCTGTGTCTAGTTGGATGGGGAGGGGTGATGAGGTGTTTCCTGCCTATACTGTAGCCCTTCCCACTGAGAGGGTGGGCTGATGATGTATGTCCTGTTCCTGGATGTGTTTCCCCGCCCTCTGTATAAAACATGTTTTGTGTAAAATAAAGAGGAGTTGACTTCCTGTTTTAGTAGGAGCTGGGTGTCTGTCTGTTTTCCTGAGGGATTCCGAGGGTGTGTGGTCCGTGGATGGTGTTCGGACAGGGGAAGCTGCAGGATAACGGAATATACCCAAGTGCGGTCGGGTACCGGTTCCGTTACATTGGTGGCAAGCGGTGGGATTGTGCTTCCAGCTGTAAACACATCCAAACCACCACCGGGATTCAAGAGCAGGAAAAGACGTCAGTCACCCCAGTGGAGATATGGACCTGGCATCAGAGTTCCCAGGGCTGCTGCAGATCATCCTTGCAACATACCCCAGGACTGTGTCTACGGATCAGTACCTGGAGCTCAGGCAGCGGATTTGGGAGGTGCTTTGGAGAGGAGCGGTCCAGGCTGCTGGTATGGACAAAGGCAAGTGCTACCCAACCCCAGGGGAACGGGCCAGGGACCATCGAAAGTCACGGATGCCATTCTTGGGAGAGCAACCCCAGGAGCAATGGTTGGCTGAGTTGGACAGGCTGGTCCAGCAGGAGATACAACTGGACAATAGATATCGGGCTCTGCAGTGGTACGCAGAGCAGGAATATTTAGGGGTGTCCACAGAGTGCTCTCCTGAGGGACTTGACTTTGGTGGGCCTGGATTGCTGTGGGAGAGCCTTACAGATCTTTTTGTATTTGGCGATAGAGGAGAACCTACTCTGAAGGAGTTACGAGAAGACAGAGAGGCTATGTTCGGTCTCACAGGGGTCTCAGAACTTAAACCAGATCTGGAATACCTGCTGAAGAAAGAACTGGATCTAGTAAGGGCATACAGGCAGCTGCTAGGACATGTTCAGCAGCATGCCCAAGAATCAGCAGTGGAAATTCCAGAGACTGGGGATCTGATAGACCTCTCAGCTGAGGAGGAACCAGCAGTAGACCTGGCAACAGGGCCAAACAGTACTGAACTCTGCCCAGCACTGGTAATGTCTCCTGAGTTCCACGGACAGGAGATGGTGAGCCCCGATCCCCAAACCCCAGTTCCAGAGGCTGGGGATTTGATTAACTTTTTTACTGATGAGGAACCAGCCAGGGAGCTGCCAGCTGAAGCGCTGACAACCGGACAGAGGATCCAGGACCTCTGCCCCATGCCTGTGGTAGTTTCAGAGGCCCAGGGTGAGAAGGGAGAGGAGGTTGTTGTCCTCCCTCCCCCAGAGTCAGCCAGAGTGGAGGAAGCCGGCCTCCCTCCCCTATGGTTAGCCGGAGCAGATGTGAGATCCCCAGCAGAAGTGCTGGCAACAGGGCAGAGCGCCGCTGGCCTCTGCCTAGCAACTACAGCCACCACCTGGATACCCCAGGGATGCTGGGTAGTCGGCCCAGATCCCCTACAGAAGGATGGAGTCGGCCCAGCCACCCTGTCCTTCTCTCCAGCGGCTGAGAGGATGTATGTCCTGTTCCTGGATGTGTTTCCCCGCCCTCTGTATAAAACATGTTTTGTGTAAAATAAAGAGGAGTTGACTTCCTTTTTAGTAGGAGCTGGGTGTCTGTCTGTTTTCCTGAGGGATTCCGAGGGTGTGTGGTCCGTGGATGGTGTTCGGACAGGGGAAGCTGCAGGATAACGGAATATACCCAAGTGCGGTCGGGGTACCGGTTCCGTTACAATATCCCCGTGGGCACCAAGTATAAAAGGCTACAAATCCAACCTCTGTGTCTTCCGGCCAAAGTGACAAAAAGCCATTAGATAAGAAGAAAAGAGAGCTTTTATTACAGATAACAATGAAGGAACGCCATCATCGTTTACACATTACAGAGAATAGAACAGAAGATGCAGAAAGGAAATAAAGGCACAAAAACTGAAACAAACCACAGAAAGATATCAGGACCCCCCCAAAACATTCCTCCAATCTATGAATAGTAGAAAGGTCCGGTCCCAGCATGTAGGCCCTTTACAGAACCATCTAGAGGGGGGGACAAAGAGAAGGACAATGTATGACATCCCTTCTTCAGCTCTGTGTATACAAAGGAGCATGTGGGGGGCTCTTGTCCATAATGGGCGTGGTACTGACACCCCCCACATCATCCACATTGGCTCACAATTGATATGATCCAGAAAATATAGAATAGAATAGAGGTGAATAAAGCCCGTGGACCGGATGGCAGACACCCACGGGGCCTTACAGAATCTAGCTCTGTCATCTCACAGCCATTGTTTCTCATTTTTAGGGACTCTTTAATGACTGGCATAGTACCACGGATTGGTGTAAGGCCAACGTGGGGCCAATATTTATAAAGGGGACAAAATCTTTCCCAAGTAATTATAGAGCTGTTAGTGTCACTTCTATAGTAGGGAAGATACTGGAGAGTTTTAATAAAAGACCACAGAGAGGAGTTCTTGCAGGAAACAAATATAGTAAGCCACGGACAGCGTGGATTCATGAAAGACAGAAGTTGTCACACAAATCTGATTTCTTATTATGAGGAGGTGAGCAAAACCTTGGACAGAGGGGTGATGGTGGACGTCGTATACTTGGACAGAGGGGTGATGGTGGACGTGGTATACTTGGACAGAGGGGTGGATGTGGTATACTTGGACAGAGGGGTGGCTGTGGACGTGGTATACTTGGACAGAGGGTGGCGGTGGACGTGGTATACTTGGATAGAGGGGTGGCGGTGGGACATGGCATACTTGGACAGAGGGATAGCGATGGACGTGGTATACTTGGACTGAGGGGTGGCGGTGGATGTGGTATACTTGGACAGAGGGGTGATGGTGGATGTGGTATACTTGGACTGAGGGGTGGCGGTGGACATGGCATACTTGGACAGAGGGATAGCGATGGACGTGTGTATTATACTTGGATTGGGGGGGTGGCGGTGGGGTGGACCTTTGTATACTTGGACAGAGAGGTGGGGGTGGGCGTGGTATACTTGGACAGAAGGGTGGGGGTGGGCGTGGTATACTTGGACAGGGGAATGGGGGTGGTATACTTGGACAGGGGGAGCTGTGGATGTGGCATACTTGGAGAGAGGGATGGACGTGGTAGACTTGGACAGAGGGATAGCGATGGACGTGGTATACTTGGACTGAGGGGTGGCGGTGGACGTGGTATACTTGGACAGAGAGGTGGCGGTGGACGAGGTATACTTGGACAGAGGGGTGATGGTGGACGTGGTATACTTGGACAGAGGAGTGGCGGTGGACGTGGTATACTCGGACAGAGGGGTGGCAGTGGATGTGGTATACTTGGACAGAGGGGTGACGGTGGACATGGTATAGGTGAACAGAGGGGTGGCGGTGGGCGTGGCATATTTGGACAGAAGGGTGTCGGTGGACCTGGTATATTTGGACAGAGGGGTGGTGGTGGATGTGGTATACTTGGACAGAGAGGTGGCGGAGGATGTGGTATACTTGGACAGAGGGGTGGCTGTGGATGTGGTATACTTGGACAGAGGAGTGGATGTGGTATATACTTGGACAAAGGTTTGGCTGTGGACATAGTATACTTCGACAGGGGTGGTGGGGACGTGGTATATTTGAACAGATGTATGGATGTGCTATACTTGGACAGAGAGGTGGCAGTGGATGTGGTATACTTGGACAGAGGGGTGGCTGTGGATGTGCTATACTTGGACAGAGAGGTGGCAGTGGATGTGGTATACTTGGACAGAGGTGGATGTGGTATACTTGGACAGAGCGGTGGACGTGGTATACTTGGATAGAGGGAGGGCTGTGGATGTGGTATACTTGGACAGAGGGGTGTCTGTGGTATACTTGGGACAGAGGTTTGGTGGTATACTTGGACAGAGGGGTGGTGGGGGACGTGGTATAGTTGGACAGGGGGGCTGTGAACGTGTTACACTTGTACAGAAGGGTCGACATGGCATACTTGGACAGAGGTGTGGACGTGGTTATACTTGAATAGAGTGGTGGCGGTGGACGTGGTATGCTTGTACAGAGGAGTAGCTGTGGATGTGGTATACTTGAACAGATGGATGGATGTGGTATACTTGGACAGAGGGGGTGGACGTGGTATACTTGGACAGAGGGCTGGTGGTGGACATGGCATACTTGGATAGAGGGGTGGCGGTGGATGTGGTATACTTGGACAAAAGGGTAGCGGTGGATTTGGTATACTTGGACAAAAGGGTAGCGGTGGACGTGGTATACTTGGACAGAGGGATGGCTCTTGAAGTGGTATACTTAGAGGAGTGGAGGTGGATGTGGTATACTTGGACAGAGGGGTGTCTGTGGATGTGGTATACTTGGACAGAGTTTTGGTTGTGGACGTGGTATTCTTGGACAGAGGGGTGGTGGGGGATGTTGTATATTTGGACAGAAGGGTGGAAGTGGTATGCTTGAACATAGGAGTGGCTGTGAACATGGTATAATTGAAAAGAGGGGTGGCTATGGATGTGGTTATACTTGGACAGAGGGGTTGCGCTGGATATAGTATACATGGACAGAGGGGTGGCTGTTTGAACAGAGGGGTGACAGTGGACATGGTACAGGTGGACAGAGGGGTGGCGATGGATGTGGTATACTTGGATAGACGGGTGGCTTTGGATGTGGTATACTTGGACAGAGGGGTGGGAGGGGGACGTAGTATATTTGGACAGAAGGGTGACTGTGGACCTGGTATACTTGCATAGAGGGGTGGTGGGGGATGTGGTATATTTGGACAGAAGGGTGGACGTGGTATGTTTGTACAGAGGGGTGGCTGTGGACATGGTATACTTTAACAGATGGATGGATGTGCTATACTTGGACAGAGAGGGTGGCAGTGGACGTGGTATACTTGGACGGAGTGGTGGATGTGGTATACTTGGGACAGAGGGGATGGACGTGGTATACTTGGACAGAGGGGGGGGGTGGCGGTGGACATGGCATACTTGGACAGAGGGGTGGCGGTGGATTTGGTATACTTGGACAGAAGGTTAGCAGTGGATGTTGTATTCTTGGACAGAGGGATGGCTCATTTGATGTGGTATACTTAGAGGAGTGACGGTGGATGTGGTATACTTGGACAGAGGTTTGGTTGTGTGAACGTGGTATTCTTGGAAAGAGAGGTGGCAGGGGATGTTGTATATTTGGACAGAAGGGTGGACGTGGTATGCTTAAAACAGAGGGGTGGCGGTGGATATGGTATACTTGGACAGAGGGGTGGCTGTGGACGTCGTATATACTTGGACAGAGGGGTGACGGTGGACATGGCATAGGTGGACAGAGGGGTGGCGGTGGATGTGGTATACTTGGACAGAGGTGGGGTGGCGGTGGATGTGGTATACTTGGACAGAGGGGTGGCTGTGGACGTCGTATATTTGGACAGAGGGGTGGCTGTGGACGTCGTATACTTGGACAGAGGGGGTGACGGTGGACATGGCATAGGTGGACAGAGGGGTGGCGGTGGACGTGGTATACTTGGACAGAGGGGTGGCTGTGGACGTCGTATTACTTGGACAGAGGGGGGGGTGACGGTGGACATGGCATAGGTGGACACAGGTGGAAGGGGGTGGCGGTGGATGTGGTATCTTCTGCAGTCAGAGGACTCGAACACACATGGGAGACGCCACCGAGTGCCGGCTGTCAGAGGACTCCACACACAGGAGACGTGGACCGAGTGCCGGCTGTCAGAGGACTCCACACAGGAGACGCCACCGAGGGCCGGCTTTCAGAGGACTCCACCACAAGGGACGCCACCG